TCGACATCTTGAACCAAAAATCCAAGCAATATCAACTACCTTTGGCATTGAATGGCTTTTCACTAATTGGACTGATTTAAGGAAGCCATTTTATTCTGCTCTTGCTGCTCGACTTTATATGTTAGTCATCACCCAATCAATTCCACTGGCCTCTAACATTAATGGCCAGGGAAGCTACTGGGCTAACTACTTCACAAGCTCTGGTGGGACACAATCAGATTATGTGACTGCTGTCAATGAATTACTGATTTTGCAGAGTAAGTTGTATGATTCTATATAATTATTATATCTATACCTACTATAATTTTATAGATTGTAGCGTAAATGCGCTTGATTTATATTTTGTCATGGATGCATCTGGTAGTGTTGGATCCTCAAACTTTCAACTCATGAAAAACTTCGTCTATAACATTGCTAATAGTTTTAATGTTGGCAGTGATAGTGTCCGTGTTGGTGTAATGTCTTTTGCATCATCCAATTCTTACCATTTCCACCTAAACACTTACACAGCAAAATCGTCTGTACTCACTGCTATTAATAATTTACCTTACAGTGGTGGGGGCACAAACACAGCAGGTGCTTTGGATGGAATGAGGACTATAGGTTTCTCTACATCAAACGGTGCACGTCCCAGTAGTCAAGGAGTACCACGGGTGGGGATTGTTATAACTGATGGACGTTCAAACAGTTATTCAGCCACTATAGCAGCAGCTAATAATGTGCACAATGCTGGCATTATTGTTTTTGCTATTGGCATTGCAGGAGCAAATCAAAATGAGCTCAACGCTATTGCATCTCAGCTGTCTTATGTGTCTTTCCTTTCCTCATTCAGTTTGACACTACTGAATTCACTTCAATATACTATTAGCCAGGAGTCTTGTGTCGGTAAGTAAAATTGCTGTTATGTATTTTGTAAATTACAAACATAAATGATTATATTTCTAAAATTCATTTATTGTAGCATCACCTGATGTTAATTTGGGCGAGACTATTTCAGATAATATTGGATCAGGGGAAACAAAATACCTCAATTACCCACTCCCTAATAACAATCAAGGAATTACTATTATCCTCAATGTGACAAATGGTTCAGCTACATTGTATGCATCAACAGTCGTTTCTACTCCTAATGAAGCCTTTTATGATGTCCAAATTACAACTGACAGATATGAAGATGTCTACATTGATCCAGCTAACCTAACAAATCCTTCCAGTGCTGATACAGTGTATATTGCTATTGAGGGTACTAGTAGTAATGGTGCTTCAAATCAAGTGCAAGTGAGTGCAACTCAAGGAGATACTTCTACTGGTAAGTTAAATACGTATCCGTGATTCATAATAGTTGTAATATATGAGATATCAAATATGCTATTAAACTGCTTGTCTTACCCCATTTTGTTAGTTTGTAGTGTTGAAAAACCTCTAAACGAATGAAAATAATTTTAATGAAAATGTAATCACCTTATTCTAATTATATTCATTGTTTAGACTCAGTAGCAATAGAAAAATTCACCAAAACAAACTTTTCCAAGAATTTTGGTGCAACTATTACAGTAGTATGC